AGGTGGCAAAAGGATAGAGGGCTCACAGGTTGAGTTTACTTAAGCAGGGGAGCTCAAGAAGTAAGGGAAGGGGAAGCTAGAAAGATGAGGGTGAGAAAGGAGTCTCAGAGCAGCTTTACCACTGTGGGGGAGCTTTTGGGGGAAGGAGTGTGAGGGCAGCACAAAGTCAGAGTGAGTTAGCACGGGTCCCAGGGGCTGCATGAGCCAGGCAGGCTTTTACAGAGATATCCAGGAAACCACCCAGGGTCACTGCTATAGCAGTCCTCATCCTAGCCACACTCTATGAGGAGGTAAGAAAGGATGGGTGCCTATGAGACCAGCAGTGCCACAGAGAAGGCCATTTAAAGGAAGGTTCTTGGGAAGATCTAGTCAGGGAGGGAGTGCAAGGCCTTGAGGAAGGAAGGAAAGAAGGAAGGAAGGAAGGAAGGAAGGAAGGAAGGAAGGAAGGAAGGAAGGAAGGAAGGAGAATACAGATCCATCTACTCTAGCCCCCCTTCCCCTCTCCTACACAGAAATAAAGGCAGTCCTATAGCTAGGAAGGGAGCCCTCTGCTCCCTTAGCCCTCACGTCCTTTTCCAGGCCAGAGACTCCCTCTCCTGTAGCCGCTGGATCCTACCTTTGGACTAACCTCCCTCCACCCCCACCCAGGGAAGCCAAGACCCACAGCTCCCCAGGGACAGATGTGGTCTGGTCTAGGAAGCTTACCAGCTCCAGAATCTGTCCTGAATCTGCATCCGGAATTCAACCCAAAGTGGCTGGGCTATAACAACACTGACACCGTCTGCATGGGGGCATAGGGGGTAGGAGCAATGAAACTGCAGGAGAAGGAGAGGGCAGCCAGTGATGAATAGGGGCAGCCAGAGCCTCGTTAGAGGGGGGTGTGGAGAGGCTGGCCGCTGCAGGGATGAGCCCTGGGCCTGATTTATCATCTTCAGAGCTGATCTGAGCGAGAGGGGTTAAGTAGCAAGTTAATGAAATCCACAGATGCCGCTAAACGGGGAGAGCGGGGAGCACCAGGCTAGAAGGGGTCCAGGAGGGAGGCAGGCAGGCAGGCTGGCCACTGAAGAGGGGATTCATCTGGAGGGGAGAGAAGATAGACATGTTCCCGCTGAGGGGGATCCTGTCATAGTCTCTGAAATCCAGTTTGGGCCAGCCAGAGAGAAAGAGGTTAGACAGACAGCAGGGATTCAGGGAGAACCCAGGTCCCATCCCAGGGACATCCTCAGTCAAGCTTCACAGCCCCCTGCTCCAGTCCCAGTGAGCTTCAGCAAACACTTACTGGGCGGCCCCTGAGCCCCTGAGACCAGGAGGTGAATCAGAACAGGTCTCTGCCTCTCTTTCCCCCAGGCTGATTGGTGAAACAAGTAACTACAGTTCGCTGTGATAAGTGCAGTTGAGCAACACAAAAGGAGGGAGCAATTAATTCTGACAGGGGAGGGCAGGGAGGTCAGGATGACATTAAAGCAAGGCTTGAAAAATAAGGGTTTTACCAGGCAGAAAAAGGAAAAGTGGGATTCTGGACAGAAGGAACAGCATGAGCCAAGGCCAGGAAAAGCACAAAGGAAGCCAAGGGAAAAGGAGCTGACCTGGCAGAGATGCCTGTTCAGGGAAGGGAAGGGGCAAGGGGAATGCTACCAAAAGGCCTGTGTTCTACCACAGGGCTCTCAGCTGGGGGTGCTGGGTGTTGTAAGGCCAGTGGGTCCAGATCCTATGGTGGTCCTGTAGTGGTCTGAATGCACAGGACAGACACAGGAGCAGCACAATCCTGGCCAAAAGAGCCCCTTCTGCATGCTGACCTCATGCTCTGTCTCCAACAGTAAGCCTGGACCTCCATTCTAGGGCTGACACAGAATTAAATAAAGTCATCCATAGAGCTTTTGGCACAGGCCTGGCACACAGTACATGCTTACTAAATTTAAATTATTATTTTGGTAATTAATATTACCAGGCTGAACTAAAAACAAAAACAAAAAACCAAAAACAAAACTGGGTTAGTGTAGGACTGCTGCTCCAAAATGCACCCAGGGGACAGGCAGAGACGTAGTTACTTAATAGGTAAAACTTAGGCCCACGGGGCAGAAAGTAATCAATCACTTTAATGATACAGTGGGACAGAGTACTGCAGACATCAAGACTGAGATCCCCAAGAAGGGGAAGATGACACATAGGCTATAACTAAAGGAACTCTGAGGACCAGACCATCAACACTTCCGTCCAGACCCAAGAGGGGCAGCTTTGGGAAGCAGAGGAGAGCAGTTTGCATCTTAGGGCCAAATAGCCAAGCCATCTTATTCCTCCTTCAGCCCACAGAGCTACCTGGGCAAATGAGCTACCTGGGCAGCCTTTTCTATTGATGCCCTCCCTTTCCTACCCTTGTCCTGAGCAGCAACCCTGCCCTTATAGAAGAACCTCCCCTAAGAGAAGTGGCAAGGGTATAGCAGCAAGACATCTGGTTCACTCATTTTTATCCTATAGTAATTAGGTATTCACTGAATATTTGTTGGATGAAGGAATGGGTGAGCTCGTAAAAATCTTGAAGCTCTTCAGCAGAGCACAGCACAGCCATAGTGAAAAACCTCCCCCTGCCCACCACACACACACACACACACACACACACACACACACACACACACAACTCTTTCCTCATTCCTCATTCTATCTCATGGCAGCTGGCATGAAGAGATTGGTTGATAGTGTGGCTACTTAAAGATTAGGCCTTGGAGTCAAACAGTCCTGGAATTCAGACTTTGTTCTTAAGGAGCACCAACTCTGTGCCCCTTAAGAAGTTACTTAACCTCCCTACATCTCAGCTTCTTCTGTAAAATGGGAATAATAATAATAGTGCCTACTTCATATGTAGTATAGATTAAATTAATATATGTAGTATAGATTAAATTAATAATTCATAACAGTTTGTGTGAAGAACTTAGTACAGAAAAACTGGAACAGAAAAAGTAACTTACACAGATGGAATAGGATTTAATCAAATTAAAACAGTAGTAGAGAAAACATCTTAATTCCCCTTCACCTCTACTTTATCCCTTCAGATCTTCTCTGGGTGCCTGTACTCCCTCTGCTGCTGCATGGTTTTTCAGGCAGGTCTTATAACTTCATCCTCTCACTAAAACTGAATTCTGAGATCCGCTGAGTCATGAGGTTACTCACGCCCAGTGGCAGTCCATCCTAAGATAGAAGAGCTACATGTGAGGTCGAGTATGGGTAGAACTGGAGGGCACAAGCAAGCCGCAGCGCAGTATCGCAGGCTCCCATGTCATCTACCACCGGTGCAGACAGTGCCTCTCATCTGCACATCTAACTTGTACAGAGGGCTTCCTTATGACCAGAAAATAGGAGGGAAAAGCCCCACCTTAGTTCATGGGAGGGTTGATGCAGTATGTGAGTACAAGCTGAAATGGACAGTGGCTATACTGAAAGACAGTGGAGAGGGAAGATCCTCCCAATGGGCAGGGCCCCTAGTCGTTTACTTTATGTAAAAAGCAAAGGGATTCAAGGATAGAATATTTATGGACTCATGGGCAGTGGTAATGACTGTGCTAACTGGAAGGGGCAAGACTGGAAGGTCACAGACAAGGAGGCCTGGGGTCATAGCCAGTGAACAGATATATGAGAATGGGCACAAAGTGTGAAGATCTTTGTATTACATGTTAGTGCCCACTAGTGAGTATCCACCATGGGAGGGGAATTAAACCATTAAGTAAATAAAATGACTCATCCCACTGATACCAGTCAGCTTCTATCATTGGCTACCCCAGTCTCAGCATGATGAATGCATGGATAAAGTAACTATGATGGCAGGGATTTTGGAAGTTATGCACAGGCCCAAGAGCATGAGTTCCCACTTACCAGGGCTGGCCTAGCTACTGCCACTGTGGAATGTTCAATCTGCTAGTCACAGAGACCAATGCAAAGTCCCCAGGATGGCACCACCCATTGAGGAGATCAATCAGCCAGTTGATGGCAAGTTGATTATTTTGGGCCCTTTCCATTTTGGAAGAAGCAGAAATTCACTCAGGAATAGATCTATATTCTGGTTATGAGTTTGTGTTTCCTGCCTACAGGGCTATAGCCAGTGCCATCAAAAGAAAGCTTATAAAGTGCTTGATCCATCAGCATACAATCTTATATGCTACCTACCATATCATACCAATGGATCTACTTTATAGCAATGGAGGTGCAAGAGTGAGCCCATAACATAAGGTCCATTGGTTGTGTCACATGCTACAGCACCTGGAAGCTGCTAACCTAATTGAACAATGCAATGACCTATTGAAGGCACAGCTGAACCACCAGCTAGGAGATGATACTCTATGAGAATGGGGCAGCATCTTTTTGGATACTGACTCTCAACTGGGGACAGTTTTGCCTCCTAGGGCAATTGGGTAATGTCTGGAGACATTTTTCATTTTCTCCACTGGAGGAGGGGAGAAGGAGAGGTAGTGCTACTGGTATACAGTAGGTAGAAGTCAGAGGTGTGCATCCTACAGTGCATAGGACAGTCCTGTCCCTCTTCTCCCCACCTCCAAATAAAGAATCATCCAGCCCCAAATGTCAATAGTGCTAAGATTGAGAAACTCTATTGTGGGACACAGCATGCATTTTAAATCAAAGACCTTTATATGTAGATGTGTCCCCATTGGGGTCCAGAAACCAAGGTCTCATTATAATTACTCCCAGTGATCCACTTGTGGAATATGTTATGCTGGGCTTTGCAAATTTAGAATAGCTGATTCCCAAAGGGGAGCATTTCTGTTAGAAGACACAGCAAGAGTCCCACTAAACTATATGAGATGGCTGCGTCCTGGCTTCTTCAGGTTCTTCATGCCAAGGACACAGGCAAGAAGAAAAGTCACTGTATCTTGGCAGAGGTAATTGGCTTAGATCATCAGGAGGCAGTAGGGCTGCTGTTACACAATGGGAGTAGCCAGGTGATTCATGTGACACGTGATCTGTTAGTACTCCCTTCTAATTTAATGGTATAGGGACAAGTGCAACAACCCCAGCCTGAGGAGGGCATGGTAACCAGTCTGAGATCCCTCAAGGATGTGAATCTTCATCATGCCACAAACCAAACTACCATGACCAACAGATGTGCTAGCTGAAGGTGAAAGGAATCTGGCATTGTGAACAGAGAAGGAGTGAAATGGATAAAAGCTGTGACCCTGAGATCAGCTCCAATAGTGGGGTCTGTAGTCATTCTTCAAACCTTCCTCTTCTGTAAGTTTCCCCTGGGAAGAGAGGCCCACTGAAATCCTGGAGGATGTGCTCTCAGAACTAATATGAAAAAGTGAATTCAAGTGGTACCAGGGTAGATTACAGTGAAGGCAGCGATCTGCTGCCTTTAGGAATGAAGGACCAGTTCCTCCAGTTGCTGGGAGTGCTGCTAGCAGCCTTCCATTGTTAGCCTTGTTGGGGGATGGCTGCTGAAGAAAATTTCTTTGTTCAAGGTCCTATCTCCTTCTAAGGACAATTCGCATCAATGACTGATCAATACTGAGACATAAAGATCCAGCCCGCTTGTCCCAACTCTGGATGACTCTGAAAGACCATCCCAGCTCCAGGGCTTCCTATGGGACTAGCTGAGGACTTTGTTGGGACTGCTTCACAATTCAGCTTCTCCCTCTGCCTAATCAGCCTTCCTTCTATTGGTGTTGATCCCAAGAGCTGTCTATTAAACATCTTGTATGCTAATCTTTGTCCCGGAATCTGCTTTCTAGGGAACACAACACATGACAGTCAAAAACAAAATAAGACCTCTATTCATATTGAGGCTCCATTCTGGGGTGGGGGGGAGGAAGCAGGCAAAAAACCATAAGCAAATAAGTAAGTTATCATTAAGTATGTTGGAAGATGATAATTGTGATAAGTTCTAAGGAATAAAGAATAAGTAGAGCAGAGTAAGGAGATCAGTAGTGCCTGGGTATAGGAGTCGGCAGACAGGATGCAGTATTAAATCAGATGCCGAAGCAGGCCTCATTGACAAGATGAGATTTCAGCAAAATTTAAAGGAAGTAAGAGAGTTGAACAAGTGGGTATCTGGAGACATTCTAGATAAAGAAAAGAGCAAGAGCAAAGGTCCTAAGGCAGGACCAATGTGTTTCAGGAGCACCCAGAAAGCCAACGGAGGTAGAGTAGGGTGAGCAATAGGGGAATACAATGACAAGAATAGAATTTAGGAAGACAATGTGAGAATAGAGGGTCAGATTATGTAGGGTGATCTTAAGGGTGATGATTTTTGCTGTGAATAAAATGAGAACAGTACCTGACTCATCTTCCTCCAAGAAGCCCTCCCTGACTGTCTCTGGCTAGATGTACTCTTTCTGGCGCCTCCTCTGTGCTCTCATAGCCTCCTGGGCTTCTGCTGTAGTTGTGTTTATCACACTCTGTTGTAATGGCCTTATTGTCTGTCTGTGTTACCCACTTAATCGTGTTGGTAATAGGGGATCATTGTGAGGATATAGAAAGAAATAAGGAAGTCAAGACATAGCCACACCATGGGACTTCACAGAGCCTATTGAAACTCTGAGAACTCTGTTGTTCAGGACGCAGTGTAGTGCTAGAAATTAGGTGTTTTCATTACTGCCTCTGAGTGAGCATTCATTGATCTCCACTCTTGAATTTCACCAGTATAGTCACTTAGTACTCTGCCCTTGCTTCAGCAGCACCTAACACTTATAATTAACATGAGTTTATATTTTCCAAGAAAAAGGATCTAATTGACTTAGCCACATCCCAGTCAGTAACTCTGTTGGGCAAATTTCTTGCTAGGCCACTTCATGGACTCCTGGCCACTGAATAGATTGGCTGTCTTGGGTCACATGTCTATCCCTGATCCAGTTAGGTGTGGCCAGAGTAGTAAAGTCACTTGATACAGGGCATGGTCATCTGTGCATAAGAAACACCCAGAGCCTCCTTTCCTAGCACGGAGCTATAGATGTAGCAGTTATTCACTCTCCAGTACAAATGACTCTCCAGTAAAACTTAGAACAGTGACTGGTAAATAGGAAAAATCAATCAATCAATCATTCTTATATAGTGTCCATCCCTCCCAAGGGCCCAGCACAGTGCCCGGCACCAAATGGATAATAATAATTATTTTGGAATGGAAGGCCAGTGCATGCAGACAGCACAGCCCAGAAAGAGGCAGTACATAGTGGTTTTGCATGTGGACTCTTGCCATAGACTGCTTGAGTTCAGATCCCAGATCTGCTACCCAGCAACCATATGACTTTAAGCAAACTACTTAACCTCTCTATAAATTAATTCTTGCATCTGTAAAATGAAGCCACAAATGGCACCAATGACATAGGAGAATTGGGTGAATTGAAGGAGACAATGTACATAAAGTACTTTTCTATAGACCCTAGCACATGGTGATGCCTCAATAATAGTGATGTTGTTATTTTCTTTTGTGAGACTCATGCTAATGAGCATGGAGCTCTAGGCTAAATACAGGTCTGGAAGGTAGTAGTCATATCCCTCCCTCAACTGAGTGGGACAGGGTCCTACCACACAGAGAGCTGCCTAAGCACACACTGATTCTGAGACTGGCAAGGCTGTGGTCAGCTGGCTGGACTCACTGCCTTCCCTGTGCCCCCACCCACCAGGTTACAAGAAACCTGGTGTTTATGGGTCATCTGGGCAGCTATTGCTGATTTTAGCAAAGAAAGCCACTATGAAGGATATATTCCAAACCTTTCTGGGTCTGTAATAAATATATATATATATATATATATATATATATATATATATATATATATATTTTAATGTTTTTATTTATTTTTGAGACAGAGAGAGACAGAGGATGAGCAGGGGAGGGGCAGAGAGAGAGGGAGACACAGAATCCAAAGCAGGCTCCAGGCTCTGAGCTGTCAACACAGAGCCCTACACGGGGCTCAAACCCATGGACTGTGAGATCATGACCTGAGCTGAAGTCGGACGCTTAACCGACTGAGCCACCCAGGTGCCCCTGTAATAAATATATTAGTTACTGGGCAAGCATGTTGCTATACCCTCAGTCTCTTGAAGTGACAGGTATGTCTAGCAGAAAACAGGGGGAGAGAAGAGAGAGAAAAAGACAGAGAGAAACAAGAGTGTGCACTGACCAAAGTCAAGGATTCAAGGATTCTGTATTCTCACTCAGTATCTCGCCAAGCCAGTCTTAATATTTCCAGTATGGAGAAGCCTTCTGGTCATCACCTCTAGGCACACAGAAATCAATGAGGTGGTCAAGATGGAGATAGCAGTCTGTGCATATATGTGACGGTGGACATGTTTGAGATTGAGGGCTCATTCAGGGCAAGGTAAGGCCAGCCTTAACAAGACCCTCTTGAGCCCTGCGTCAGGCTGGCATATAGACTGGGACTGAGAGCTGATAGAAGATGAGGTTCTGCTTTGGAACCTACTTAACCACGAAGGGCTCCCCATGGAAGAGATTATTAGAAGGTTTGGGGAAAGGAGTGAGTGTAGTTGCCTTGGCTCAGGGTATGTTGAGGAGGCAGAGGGTGGTAGGCAGGGAGAAGGAATATAGAGAGCAGAGGGAAGATGGAGACACTGCTGCAAGCTGGCCTCGGTAGACTGGGCAAAGAGCAAAGAGAGTTCCTCTCTCCACAGAGCTCCACAGTGGCCAGCACTGAGGGCGGAAGCCTGCACAGTCTCCCTTTGGGGCTTTCTGGGGCAATATGGATGGGCCTCTTGGTTCGCTCTAGGTGCTCCAACTGCTACAAAACCTGCTGTGCTGGCCCCCAAGGAGCACCACACAGCAACGCCAACTCCCCTTTTACTGTGCATAGCACCCGATGGCCTTGAGACACACTTGCCAAGGGAGAAGTCTCTATTAGGAGATCAATTTTCTCTTTTCCCACAAATTCAGCTATGAATTTCCTTTGAGGAAATGGTGGTAACTCAGACACCACCAGGGGGCACTAGGGCCTCTAGGCACCAGGGGCCAAGGAAGATGAAATCCCTGAAGTGTGGAGGCCCAGGTCCAGCTGCTGAGCCCCTGCAGCAGCCCCCTCCAGCAGGACCTTGATGTAGTCGATCAGGGAGACTGTGTTGCTGGCTTATCTAACGTGAAACGAGAGGACTGGGCCAAAGAGCCCTATTTCTGTCCAGCCCTACACTACCTGCCATAAAATTAAATGATCACAATGAGTACATTAATTACCTGACACGAATGCTTTAACATAACAAAATTATTAGCCATTTTAGATTTAGTGTTTGTACAGCACTTTATATTTGCAAGGGCGTTGCAATAACTTACCCTGCTGAGGGTGCATTTCAGGCCCTGAACGACATCCTAAAGGGTTTCTTCTGGCCAGCCAGCTGTCTGGCCTCTACCACAGCTGGTCTCCTGCCTTCCTTGCCTGCACTGACTGCTTCTCTTCTTCTCCAGCTGCCACCTGGCATCTCCTCCTGGCAGCCCCCTCATCTGTTCACTGAATCCCTTTTTTCATAGAGCCATGAGACAGTTTCTTCACTTGTGCTCAGGTTACCTACCTGATCCTGCATCAGAATTAAAGGGCCCAAGGGCAACAGCCCTGGGTAGGGCTGGCCTTGGTGTCCAGCAATTGTCTCTCTTGTCCTGGCTATAGCAGCAAATATGGACACCTGATGAGTTCTGCCCTAGTGGGAACTCTTGAGTTTGGGGCCTGATGTTGCTCAGACTCCCCAGAAATTGACTACATGTCCTGTCCTATCATTTGCCAAGTGTTCACTGTACCCACACCAGAGCAAGCGCTAGGCCGTTGGGGGGCATGGCATTGAGGGGACTCACCACTGTACAGATTGAGTTCCAGATTGGACGGGATATTACAGGAAACTTTACTAGTCAAACTTGTTGCAGTTGGCTTGGGTGTGAAATCTGCTTCCCCAGGCAGAGAGATCAAAAGCTCAGTTGATGGATGTCTGTGTACCCAGCTCTCCTTGCTTGCTTTCATCTTCCTTCCAGAAAGAGGAGTAAACATTCAGCTAGTGAGCACTGCAGGTGTTCCCTTGAGGAGTGGAAAGGAATATCATTGAGAGCAGACAAGACCACCAATGACAGTGTCCACAGGATATGAAGGGTCTCAAGAAGGAACAAAATGAAGGACATTTGCATCAGCAGTTCCAGAATTTCTGGATAGGAAGGTCTTTGGGGAAGCAGCAATTTGATTGGAAGGCTGCTGGAGGACTTAACTTGAAGATGAATTTGTGTAGCTTATACAATGCAGATCAATAATATTTCCTAACATGTTTTTAGTCATACTTTACAAAAGTGGAGAAAACATGAGTTTTCTATGTAAAGTTTATCTTGGTGCATAGTATAGAGATTAAGTAACTCTGGATCTGTATTGCTTGGGTTCAAACTTTAGCTTCACCAGTAACCATTGAGGTGATCTCAGGCAAGGGCTTTAGCTTCTCTTTGACCTAATTTCCTCATCTATAAAATATGGATAACTATAGTGACTACCTCACAGACTTATGAAGATTGAATGAGTTAATCCATATAAAGTGTTTAACACATAGTTAAGTCCTCTTTAAGGGTTTGCTACTGTTACTCATCGGGAAGAGACTCAAGAGGGCATAGAGGTGGCTATGGTGCTCAAACTGGGTGTTTGGAAGTCAATTGCTAAGTCATTCAAAGTGGAGTGGAGGTGAGAAGAGGAACTCAAGATTTAGGCGAGGAGTGCGTATGGTATGTATGGTGTGTA